ATCGATCGAAGGATGCCTCCTCAATTTCGTGAAAAAGAGGATGATCTTTAACCCCCAAGTAATTAGAAGCAAGAGTTCTAAATCCGCAAGGATTGCAATAGGACATGTGAATGTGTAGGTCCATGCGTCCTGGTCGTAACAATGCCGGATCTAGTTTGTCTTTATGATTAGTTGTGAAAATAATAATCCTCTCGTCTCCACAACTTGACCATAGCCCGTCAATGAAATTGAGCAAACCCGATAGCGTTACCTGTGCAATAAAAATAATAATTTTAGATTGAACAAAAAGTCTTTTGTGGGCTCCCCCATGCATGCATGCATGACCCACCAAGGACTTGCAAATCCATGCCCAAAAGTTTTGACTTTGGGAAAAGTTGTGAGTTGGTGTTGAATAAAAAAGGCAAAACGCAGCGTTTCTTAACCTCCACTACTGGTTTAACGGTTGCCATTCTACACCTTTAAACTTTATTTTTTTCCCGTAAATTATAATATTAATTTAATTTATTAGTATATTAATAAAAATGTCATCACTAACTTGCATTTATTTAAATTAAAATAAGTTTTTAAATGAAATAATCACAATCTGTCAATAAGTTATTGAAAAAAAATGCATTCTTTTATTTATTTTTTAATTGCAATCAAAGAAAAACCCACCATAGAAATCATGGAAAAATTATTGAAGAGGATTTAAATTAAAAGAAAAAGAGACAAGAGACTCGGAAACTGAATGATTGACTGACCTGTTTCTCAGGATACCGATGTGGGTCTGCGTTTCTAGCCTCCGCCAATCTATCCTGTAGCTCGATCGTACAGTCAATGTCCTCCACAACCAGAATCGACCGATTAGCGGTTGCAACCAGCAGTCGTCGGAGCTCAGAGTTGCACCGGAGCTCCGTCAATTCCAAGTCATAGATATCAAAATTCAGGTAATTCGCCATTGCAGCGATCAAACTCGATTTCCCCGTTCCCGGTGGTCCGTACAGCAGATACCCTCTTTTCCAAGCTTTACCCACCTTCTTATAATATTCCTTCCTCCTCACAAACCGCTCGAGGTCCTCCAGTATCGTGTTCTTCAGTTCTGGATCCATAGCCAAAGTATCGAAAGTTGCAGGGTGATCGAGATTGACTGGAACCCACGCGTCGGCTAGGTTTCCGTACATGTTTTGTTCGTCAAGGGTGAAGATTTTAAGCGTCTTCAGTTCTTGTTTGATTGCTTTCGCTTGTTTGATTACGAAGGGTAAGTATTGGGTAATCACCATGTCTCTGTATTTTTTATGGAAACAGAGTTCGAAAGATCTGACCTCTGATCGGAGCGTGGAATTGATGTCGCGAGGGTTGTCGAAATTTCTACTACTCTGGACTTGATGACAGACCAGAGCCCATTTGAGTTTGATGCCATTGAAGACGTCTGTTACTTCTTCTTCGCGGTCAATGGCCAACACCAGGTTGTTCTCTTTCTCGGGTTTGATCACTTTGAGCCGGCGAGTAGAGGGGGAGATCTTGCCGCCGAGATAAATCTCCGCAGATTCGTAGATGTGGTTGTTGACTAGGCCGTCGAACTCGTCGATCACCATTGTCATTTGAGAGGAGAAACAGGTGAAGAACCGGCGGAGGCCGAAGGTGAAATAGCACTGGAATTCTTCCGGGAGTAAATCTCGGGCTATTGAACGGACCAGAACGGCGGTGGCGGCGAAAGAGGCTGCCGCGGTTAAGACTGTCTTTACAGTGGCCAGACTTGTTTCGGTTGTGGAGGTGGAGGCCATGGATGATTGAAATTTTTGTAGAAAGACGGGAGACTGGGGTATAGACACTTCGCTGTAGGTACCTATATGTATACTTGGAAGAATATAGATGTGGGGGAGTCCAGAAAAACAGTGATGGAAGAAGCTTTCTTAGTTTGACAGTTGACCGTCGATTCTTCATACCAGTCCAAAAGTTAATTTAAAAAATTGTTTTGGAAATAATAAATATTTATTTTATAAATATTTTTATTCATGTTCATGTATATTTTTATGAATGAATATACAAACATGTAAAAATAAAAAATAAATAAATAAAAGCTAGAGGATGTTTTACTTGACAACAAATCTGGAGATAACAAAATTGCTATCTAACCCTTTTCACATATAAGTAAATTAATGTATGTGTACATGTATACATTTACATGTACATATATATATATATATATATACACACTAATATTTATGTAAACAAAAAAAAAAAAAATTAAGGAATTATCATTATTTTTAGCAGTACTATAAATTCATAAATTTATTATCTAACCCTTTTAAATATAAGTAAATTTAGATATGTATATATGCATATATTTACATGTATATATATATACACACACACATATACATGCTAACGTTCTTGATGCCTTTGACAAGTATATATCCTGAAGCGCATGAAAAATCAAAGAAAAATCTTTTTTTAAATACATATAAATATATATATAACATGAAACTGCTTGTATAAAAAAAATAGAAATAATTTCATTTCATCATTTCTTTTACTTCAAGTGCAATAGGGTTTAATTGTTATTGATGGAATCACGGTGAATTACTATGATTTTAACAAATTAAATTATTTAATTTAAAATAACAAATATAATATTTGATTGATAAAAAAAAAAAAAAAAATTATAATTTTACTAATGAAAAAAATTCACATTCTCAACCAAAATTTATTTCATTGACCAGAAACAGAACAATGTAAACCTGGTAATACACCATAATTCCCATTAAATTTAATTCTCATCAGTTAATATTGAGAGCAGATTTTATTGTCTGTAACTCTGTTAGCACCTTCTGAAATCCCTGAACTAATTCTTCATACTGTGATTTTGGAATCTGATACATGATTTTCTTACCTCCTCCTTCTTGTTCATTTTCAAGTTCGCCAGAATTTGGTGATTCCTGAATTGATCTCAGATTTGTTATTAACCTTGCCATTGCCTCGATGTCAGTTACACTACTTCCAGTGCTATCTTGAATTTCATATCTCTCTGATGAACTCTCAGCTGTCCTATTTCGACTCGTTCTTTGAAATTCTTCCATCTCCATTTTACCATCTTTAAGACCATGATGCTTGTTATTCGATGAGTCCTTTTCGGTGCGGAATTGCTTGGCCAAATTTTCCGGAGGAGGATCAAGATTAACAGGAGCAGCATTGCTCATTTCAGGGGATAAAATTGTTGGGATGTCGTTACCTTTCCATCTTTTCTCCAGTTTGCTAGGTAATGCTTCTGAATTTCCAGCCAAGGAATCTGGAGAAGAAAAATGCATTGTCAACTTCTTTTTTCCGCTTTGAAATTAAGAAGTAAATGAAAAAATTCAATAATTTACATGTGTTTTAGAAGAGATAATGCATTATGAACTTTTTTTTATTATTTTAAATCGAATAATTTTATTTTTATAGTTCAAATGAGTTAGAAGAACTTATAAATATAAAATATTTCATTTTAAAATTTTGTCAGAAATTTTTCTATAATAAACATTTTTCATGTCGTCTTCTTCATTTGTGTTCTACAGAAACGTAATAATTTTTCGAGAAAATCAAGCAGGAAGTGAAAAGTAAATACCATTCATCTTCTCTCCTTTTAGAGTCTGGGACTGGACTTTTAGGATCTTCTCAGGCAAATCAGGATAACTCTTCGTTTCTCTTGAACTTTTCATATGTGTTTTGTTACTCTTGTGTCCTGTACCATCCTTTGTTCTATCTGAACTCTTTGATATCATTTTATAACCCCTGGAAGTCCTTTCTCCCTTTGCTCGGAGTAATATTCCTTGGATCGGATTTGTCTCTGCCAGCATTTCCTTTAACTGTTTTGATTCGCCTTCGGAAGAACTAGGACTTGCAGGACTGCCATTTTGATCATGTCCTGCTCTTGTCCTCTTTGTCATTGTTCTAGAACTGGACAAAGATTTGGCAGCTCTATTTAATTTACCTTCGCTGGTTTCTTGATATCCCTTGATTGGTCTGGATCGATTTCTGGGATCCTTTTTGGTTGGTGCAAATTTAACCGCCTTGCTAGTTTTGGTTCTTGTAGATTGCTGCTGAGAATCCTGCTTGTTTTCAGCTTGGAGAGTCAAGACTGATTGCCTCCACCACTTGAGGTATCTGACTGTAAAATCTGCTTCGGAATATCGAGATGGGACATACAAGAATCCAACTGTAATTGGCTTGGCATAATCTTTCCAGGCTGTTTCTGGAGTCTGAATTGATTCAGGAACAATTCCAGGAAGATCCTGATCATATCCAAATTGTAATGATACACGGTGTGGAAAATAAGGTTGCAGACATCCAAATCCGATGAGCCTGGAGACTCTCAGGCACCTAGCAAGTGACACAACACCCCTGTCTGAAGACGGATCAATTGATACCCATGAGTCTTTTTCGACATAAAATTTAGGCAGACTCAAATTTTTTAGAGGTTTTGTGTAAGGTCGCCAGCGAAAATTTTCTCTGGCAGAGTCCAGGACTGATCTGATATCATCCAATCCAGGTGCTAAACCTTTCTGGTGCCATTGAGCTAATCTTGGTTCTCCAGGCTTTAATGAATTAGGCAATGGCTGCAACTCAATAATTCTCTCCCAAGCCCAAATCTGTACACACTGAAATGGTGATAAAATCATCAAGTTTTCATCCTCAGAACTACCAGGTTTGCTGGAATTAACAATTCTCTCTTTCAGGAGGCCTAGATCTCTGTAAATACTGGCAAGGACTGCTGGTGCTAGTGCAATTCGAATGCCTCTCGCTAGCTGAATTGCGGTAGGAAAAACATTTTTGCGAATAATTTCATGCTTAGTTGGAAAAACGAATCTTGACAACCATACATGAGGAAGGCTTCGTGCTCGAGTTAGATCCGGAGTTCATGAATTCCTTCATCCAG